TGGTTTCCTCTGCTTTTTTTTTGCTTAATGTCACCAACACGCAGAGCATAAAAGTGACGACTTTTTTCTCGTTATTTCTTTTTTTCTTCTTTGTTCTTGATGGAATGGAGTTATTATTATTTATTTATTTATTTATTATATTATTATTTTCCTTCTGCCTTGCCGTTTAAATGACCCCTGAGGTGATGAGGCCTCTTGCCTCCTTTACTACTTCTTCTTCGCGGGGAGCACGACGACGGGTTCGCCAGGGCGGCACTTGCGCCGCGCTGCCTGGTGCTCCGGGTAGCTCTCGTCGTCGTGGGCAAGAATGTGCACCGCCGGCACACCGGACAGCTTGCAGATGTTGGGAAGGACGCTTTGCAGGACCTCCGCATCGTTAATGGCGGGTGCGTCCGCCAGCGCCTCCTCGCCACATCGCTCCACGTTGATCTTGGTGAACGACAGGAACGCCATGACGTCAGGGAGGATGTCTTTCGTCATCCAGTCCTCTTTGCGCGACATTACTTCCCTCGAAAGGTTCGCAGGAAAGGATTTCCCATGTGCCTCATACACATCACGCAACAGTCGCAGTGCCTTAATTTGCCATGCGGAGTAGTTCGCGGCAGTGTAGACAAAGACCTCCTCGATAGGACCGCGCTTTTTCTGGGCCTTCACCACCTGCGAGCGAATCTCCTTCACAACATCTGTCATGACACGACTTGCAACCAGCGTGGCGTACGCCACCGGAGCTGTTGGCTCAGGGAATGGTGCGCAGACAACCGATGTGGTGTGGCCCAACACATTCGTCCACATGTACTCTGAAAAGTGCGGGGCCAATGGGGCCAACAGGAGCGTCTGGACCTCAACATATCGTTGAGCAAGGTCTGCATGTATCTGAAGATCGTCGCAATTCAACTTATATTGACTGAATTCGTTCGACAGTTCAAAAAATGCAAGGTTGAGCACGCCACGGAACTGCATACCCACATAGAATTTCTCCGTTTGCAGAATGATAGCGTTGATGGAGTTGTTAAATATCTTGTCAAAGATGTTGTATTCCCCGCTACGCAATGTGTTTTTCTTACACAGCAGCTCCTGCGCCCCATCCATTGCGGTGGTTAACTTGAGAACAAACCCGGCGGCGGTTTCACGAACAAAGTTCGCGTCGTCAAGGCTATCGCCTGCATCAGCGCAGGCAAGGCGTGTGGCGTCACTGCCATACAAGTCGATCGTCTCTGCAAGGGTCAGAAAATTGCCTTTTGACTTGGACATCTTCTCGTTATCCACCTGAATGTGGCCGTTGGCGAAGATGGCTCGTGGCCACTTGCTTGTGTCATTCGGCCAAATGGCTGCGTGGTTGTAGAGGAACATTGTCAGGTGATTTTGGATGAGATCCTTCGCAGAGCAGCGGAGGTCCACTGGGTACCAAAAGTTAAACTCTTGCCGCATCTTTTCTGCCGCCTCAACCGGGAGCCCGTTGACCGCATGAACGCTCTCTGGCGTGCCCTTACCAAGGAATACATAGTCAAAGGTCTCATCGGTAAACATCTCGGGTGTGGCACCCAATACGTTTTCCTGACGTCCATCAAGCCGGTGTTTCCCCTCAGGCGAGGTATGAATAAGGTGGGCAATGGTGTAGTACGCCATGTAAATGGTTGAGTCACTCAAGCTATCAATCAACATTGTCCCACTCGCATCGCACGGTAGTTTCGTGCCCAAGCCAAGGGTACGGCTACACGGCCAGTCCGCAAGCCAATTCAGCGTTTCCTCGAAACCATTGCGAACCCCGGGAAAGAACATATTCATATCCTCAAGGTGTTTCACCACCGCCTTCTTCCACTCATCCTTTCCGTATTCAATGTACCACTGATCACATAATGCCACGACACACTCGTCACCAGATCGGCTTATGACAAGACGGGCAGGTTCATAATAGCGAATTGCGGAATCTTCCTCGGCCAGCAGTTGCATTGTCTTCACCTTGGCGATAGCGACCTTGTCGCCTGCGAAGGGGCCAGCAATCATGACGCCTTGATAAAAACCCGCCTGGTAGACAGCCTTCTTGGCTTCCTCCAAAAGATCTGTGGCCTGGGGTCCATTAATCTTCAGCTTTTCACACATATACTTGGCACTCTCACAACCCATTTCTCCAGGTATTTCAATCAGTGGAACAATTTCAAAATTCACCCATTCATCTTTAATGCCCAGTTTGGCACGATAGTCTGGCTTCTTTTTAAGCTGCGTAAAATTGATATAATCATCAGGGCTATCGGAGGGGACACTCATGACCACACCGGTGCCTTTTGCATCTGTAATGGTTTGCATGGGTAATGTGTAAATGGTGGGGTAGGCGCAGAGTGGGGAGGAGAGGGGCAACCCCACAAGCTTCGCCCCATCCACCTCAAACAAGGGGGCAGGGTCTGTGCCAGTCTTGCCGTTGATGACAAAGTCTTGGTACGCCATATTCCGTGCAGCACGTGATGTGATCATAAAAATTTCCTCCTCACCGGTTTTGTTCTGGACGGCAAACGCCTTGTAACTGAAATTCGGAGAAACCCAACAGTTTGTCGCACCACATACAGTTTCCGCACGCAGCGTTGCTGCAGGCATGATAACTGCACGATCACCTATAATATTGCTGAAGTTTGCAAACGCAGGATGCTCTGTTGCATTTTGTACCTTCAGTTTCACCACTGTATATTCCTGTGGCAAAGCACCCTCGCCACTTGCCCGATCGTGATCGGCACAGGGCTGGCCGTCCAGTGGTGAGTACACGCAGTATCGCTTACCAAACGCAAGAAGATTTGCCCTCTTCAACTGACGAAACTGCCATGAAACAAAGCGGTCGTAGTATGGATTGCGGTCCGTTGTAATAAACGAGCGACGAAAGTCAATGTGACAGCCAAATCGTTTCAAGTCTTCCACCGCAATTGGCGGAAAGTAATCCAGCCAATAAAGTGGATCGGCAAACTTTGTAATTTCTTCATCGGGGATGCCCATAGTGCGCATAATAACCCACTGTGGTTTGGGGGCGGCCGCCTTCCCGCGCTTCCCCTTATATTGACCAATGGCGGCAACCTCGTCCTTTATCTCCTCCTTTGGCGACTCCACCTCTTCGGGAAATTGTGGTGGGTTGCCGTACAACTCAATCTCCTTCTTGATTTTCTGCGCACAGGCCGCGATGGGGGTGCCGGTGACATGCAACCCGAACGGCCAGAGGGAGCGACGCCCCTTCATTCGCCAGAAGCGAGATGCAAATTCACTTTTTGTCAGCGAAAACGCGTGGCCAAGGTGCAGACGTCCGTTCATGTACGGGTACGGAAAGGTGACGAAGAACTTGCTTGGAACTGGTTCACCCTTCAAGGGGGCGTTCTGTTCATGCAATTTCTCCCGTGCCCAGCGTTCCTGCGCTGCGGCCTCGATGCCCAACAACCTATCGCGGCGTGCTGTAGACATTTTCGCCTTCTGCTCCTGTTGGCGATTTTAAATCCTCCCTCCTTTTCTACCTACTTCCTTTATATATGTATAAATATATATATATATATATATAAACTTATTCTGTTGGTGGATGAATATTCCCTATCGCGTGTGTGCGTGTTGTGCCGCGCCGCTGCTGCTGCCTTCAAGTGCGTGGAGAGCGACGACGACGAAACTTGACAACTGACCCCTGCAAGCACACACACACACACACAGAGAGAGAGAGAGAGAGATCGGCATGGAAGAAGAAGTCAGGCAATCAAACCCAGAAAAGAGGTAAAGTGGTGCGTAAGCCACGTGGGCGTCACTGCAACATCCCGTGGGGAAACAAAACCACCCCCACCGACCCCACAGCAACGCATAAACAGGCAACTAAATATATTAACTACATGCGGGGTTTGTGGTTAAACAACAAAGAAGCAAAAAAGGCGTGGAAAGAACGCAAAAAAAAAAAAAGCCGCAGGTAGCGAGAGAGAAAAAAAAAAAAGGAATATATACACAGATGCAAACATATAGACATTGTTTGTTTGTACCCGCGTGTAAGGAAGCATTGAAAGACAAGCGTGAATAGAGGGAAACTCACAAACCCAACTCACAAACCCAAACGAGAAACCAAACGCATCATGGACAAGAGTAAATAACGGTCAAGGGAAAAGTAAAGAGAAGCAACAAAAGACAATCGGAAAAAGAAAAAGAAAAAATGGGAGCAATTTGCAGAGAGAGAGAAAAAAAAAAACGCAAACAACAAAAAAAAATTAGTAAGCATACAATACGGCAATTGCACCTAAACCGTAAAGGCAGAGGGTGCCAGACCCAGTACATGCATACCATCAACATAGAAAGGCATATATATATATATATAAACATATATATCAGCAGTATTACTGACGATCTTAAATATGCGCACATACACCCAGAGATCCCTACCAGTTCCTTTTCGTTTTTTATTTTATTTTATTTTATTTCTCCTCTTGCTCCTCTCCGCCCCCTTTGCAGAGCCCCTCATCCCATTCTTGGTTCCAATGATGCATTTCACGTCCACAAACACAAAAACAGCAACGGCAAGAACAACTGAGGCCAAAAAATTATTCCACAGTATAGAGTTCAACGCACAACACACAGCAACTGATAATAATAATAATGATAATAATAAATTCAAAAAAGCCGCATGCATGCATGCACACACGCACACACACAGGAAAAAAAAAGGAATGACGGGGAAAAAGAGGGGGCGTATGCACATTCACTCACACCGGAATCAAAGAGTGAGATACGCCATATTTGCAATATACATCACATATCCTTTTCCACTTGTCGCAGCTGCTCCAGCCATTCCACGCTGCACTCGCATTCAGCAACCACGTACTCCCAGACGCAGGCACGGATAAGTGCCTCTTCGCCCTTTTTTTTCCCGTAATTACTCATCCCCCATAACTATTTTCACTCCCTCATGCGGCTGCTATTCCGCGATGGCGACGGTGTGAACACTTTACGTCGTTGTTGCCTCGTCCCCTTTCTTTTCTTATAGTTTCTCTTCCCTGATCATCAGCGTCAGCCCGCCTTCACACTTTTCTCCAGCAACCCCAACTCCCGTACCTCGTTACTTTAAGGAGTCTGTAATAAAACAAGAGGCCACCGCAACAACACTTAGCCTCATCGACGCAAGTCCTCTCCCCTGTGGGGTGTGTGTGTGTGTGTGTGTGCAAATGTGAAGTAGAGCGCGTCCAGACACGCGGTGAGACGCGTATTAGCGTGAGGCAATAAAAAAGATCACTACAACAACAGGTGGGGAAATGGCGTGCGCGCATGTGCGTACACACACACGCCCTCGTGCAACATCACATGCGTGTGTAGATGCGTCTGGAAGGAAGAGGAAGCAAAAAGAAAAAAAAAACTCCGTGGGCGACGGGGGCGGTGTGTCCGCCTGGAGATATGGGGCGTGAGAGGGTGTCGGCAGCAAAAAGAAGCCTCCTGCCGCTTGATTGACTCAAAACCGGCAGCTGTGAAAATAAAACAACTACAACCTCGAGAAAGCCTGCCACGGAAAATTGAACTGGGCGAACAAAACACCATTCGAGCAGGCACAGAGAGTAAGCATTTCCATACACTCACGGACAGACAGAGAAAGAGACAAAAGTAACGAAAAACAAGGCAAGAATTTTTGAGTTCTTCCCTCGTTCCCGGACGGGTTACTTTACATAAGCAACGAACTAATGCTATGTGTCGCGTACGTCACGCGTACAGATTGGACATCGAAAGTGACTTTCAAACCAACGAGAAGCGCACCCCTCGTGCAGAAAGTGGCGACAGCATGGAAGCTGCGTGGCCACGTGGCCGACTGAAAATGAGTCCAGACACACGCAGCAGGTTAAGCACTCTTCTTCACGTGGAGACAGCGCCCCCCCGGTGCGCTCAGTCATCACTCCAAAGTGAATTGGCTGCAGCAGCACCCTTAGCTGTAACAGCCGTTCACGCGGCACACCGCGCTCGACGCGTCCAATGCTTTCCGCCAGGTCCAGGAGCTCCTCATACGACATATTGTCCACATCGGGGGCAAAGGCAGCTTCAAAGAGATAACCATCACTAAGGCGTGACGCTCGACGAGTTGAAGCAAACCGCAACGTGGTTCGTGAGTTGTGCACCTCACGTGACAAGGTTGACAGCGGTGGGGGAGATCCCGGGCGGGGACGAAAGGGAGAATAGGAAGGTATGATCGACGGTGTGATCTGGGCCAAGCGAGGAGAACGCCGCATCCACCCTCCAATAGAAGGGTCCCCACCCACACGACTCTGTTCGCTTCGCCGCTGCGGCCGCGTAGCTGCGGCACCACGGCGGTGGCGGCTGCTCGGTCTATAGGCTAGTCGCTCAAATAACTCCCAAAAAACGGGGTCGTGGTGGTGCTGCAGCCGCTGCAGTGGCGGATTCATCGCGGTTTCAAATGCTTCACCAACAGCCTCGCGAGTATATGACCGTGTTTGCTGTTCTGGTTGATCCTGCTGTGGCAACGGCGGTGGCGGCCGCTGAATCCCTGCACTATGATGGGGAGCAGGAGGACCTCTTTCCGCCGAAAAAAGAGCCGTATGCAACACATCCGAGGCAGATACAACAGCAGTCCCGGTGGTTTGAGGCACCTGACGAGATTGCGGAAAGAAACCGTGCAGGTTTGGATCCACATGATACGAAGGCGCTGCGGTTCCCCCGTAGGCCAGAAAAGTTGTATATGCCCCATTGCTGCGTGTGCCAGCCTTATCCTCTCGTTGCGGTTGAGGCAAGGCATCCAAAGAGTATGGAGCAGCAAAACCAGGCGGTCGACGAGACACGCCATGCATGGAATCAAAGCGTGAGGATAAAGACGGAGGATGCTTAAAATGCTGCTGAAACGACGTCAGCGACGGCGACGGCATTAGACCCCCCATTGTTCCTGCTGATATTCCTGGGCCTCGTGCCACTGCTGGTGTTGAGGAATGAGGGGAAGAAGATGCAAACGGTGCATTCTCCGCCCGACTGCCTACTGAGATGGGGGTCATGACTTCCTCCCGAAGAGGGACATCCTCCATACTACCAATGCAGCCAGTGTCCCCGCGACTGCTGCCGTAGCTATTGTTATTGCCTACAGAGTAACCCCAGCGAATGCTGGAGCGTTGATTGTGTGTGGGTGGAGCTGCCACTGCTGCCGCTACAGCATCACGTCCCTGCATCTGCATGAGAAGACCTTCCCGGTACGCCGAGAAATGAGAATGCATGGGTGGATTATTCATCCTTAGCGTCGTTCTCTGCTGGGGCATTGCCGCTCTCTGCGTGGAGGGCGTTGACGTTGTTGGCGCATACAGAACTGTGTGTCCCTCTCTCGCCATCGCACTTTGGTGTGCAGGGGCAACTCCTGTTACTGAAGTAACGTAACCGGGCGGTGAAATGGGCTGTGTACGCGAGAACGCATATCGGGAGTCACCGGTTGCGGCAGCCACTGTGTTAGTTCCTGATGGCATCACCATCAGCAATTAACGATACGTGCAAACTAAACTTGCCCTTTCCTCCTTGCCGGTGTTGTTCCGCGCTTCTCCTTGCGGGCCTCGTGCGCACTCTGTACGTGAAACCGCTTTCGTTTCCCTCGCCGCCCTCCCAACGCCCTAAACTCCCCCCCCCCTCCGGCAACGTCACCGCAATTGGATTCCTCGCTTCCCTTCTTCCGCTCTCCCCTCCCGTTTCTTCCCAGCTGTGTGGCACAGGTGCGGAGATCCCACCGCCCTCAGACGCACACACAGGGACAGAGCAAGGCACGCCCAAATACAAGCACAGCTTTAGCCGACGCGCTGTCTCTTAGAGCGAAGTTTATGTGCGGCTACGTAGGCAGGTGCAACGCGGCCCGTGTACGTACTTCGCTCACAGTGCTGCGCGCGATGCCACTACGGTTGGATGCCTCCCCTGAGCCTTCCGCGTCGCACTAACGAGTTGTAACCAGCGGCACCAGGAAAGCAGAGAGAAAGAAAGAACAAAATGGAGAGGAGAAGCGAGGGTTCAGAGCAAGCAGACACGACTCCACTGAGGGAAAGAGCAGCAGGGAGACAAAGGGATGAAGCGAGAAGACCTCAAAATGGCTATTTTTATCGGCAGTTATAGTTTCACTTGAATGCCACGTCTTCCTTTTCTTCCCCCATCCCCCTCCTCCTGAGAGGTGACCCATTTGTGCCTTCTTGCGCCTCCCCTCCGCTAATATCAATCAAATGGGAGCAAAATAAAACAATTGTCTTGCATTCTTTCTTGCACAAGGGGCTTCTTGCGTCATAAATTGATAAAACAACAGACGGTGACATAAACGCGTGCCGATGCGGATGCCCCGACGCGAGTCCCTGTGCATGCGTGTGTTCCCCAGCCCATTCACACCGACACACACACGCACGCCCAAGAGACGCACATACGGAGAGAGGGAAGATACATATACTATATATAAAGGTGTATGTTGGCGGCACAACGCTAATACCGCTTCCTAATGAAGCCAAAGAACGTCATTTCAGTTGGGTGCCGATTATTCCCCGGAGCGATTCTCCGTGGAATACGCGGGGGCTAATATGTCCAGAAGAAATGACCGCGATAAGAAGGCGGCAGAAGTAAAACCCAACGATATAAAAAAAAATTGGACGCCTCCGTGCAGGCACCCGCAGCAAGTGAGAAAAAAGAAGCAGCCGCACTCACACTCACGTCTTTTCGTCCTCTAGGCCTGTCCCCGTCCCACACCTCTCCCAAGCAAGGCTGGGTGTCAGACACTCGCTCCTTCTTCCGCCACCCATTCAAGCGCCTTCCTCGATGCAGGGAGACACACAGACAGAGACATGCAAACGTGACATACCGCTACCACTGGCCGCAGAAACAGCAGCAGTGGTGGCGACGGCAGAGGCGGGACCTGAAAGCACGTACACAGTAAACCGAAAAAGAAAAATCTGCGGTAAAAACCAAGTTGGTGGTAATACAACAACAGAGGCGGCAAGTGGCCAGTACTACGCAGGGGGGAAAAAATAATAACAGCAAATGATAAAATAAAACAAATAAATAATAATATTGCTAAAGTACTCGGAACCAGCAACAAATAAACGCATGAGGAGCAAAAACAACTACATAAATAAATAAACATGGACCATCCTCAAAAATGAAAAAAACTGAGGTACAACGCGCGGACCCACAGAAAGAAACAAAGTAAAAAAATAATAATAGAAAAAAAAAAAAAGAAGAAGTTAAGAGGTTCGCTACACACAGTAGGGGCCATTTTTGTGCTATCGCATCTTCACCTCTCTCTATTTTTACTGGTGCTGCATTGAGTACAGTCATTTATGCATTTCGCTACAGGACTCCTCTTCACCTGAGCGTCGTCTTCTCTGTTTGTTTGTCCCCCGCAGTCACAGCGACTTCCACGATGCAACACTGAAAAGGCGAGGCGCATGTAGGCCGTTCACGACCACGCGCGGATGGGGCTCAACGGCCAATGAACTCACAGTTACAGGGAAACTGCCACAGCGAGTGGGAAAGAGAGAGAGGAAAAAGCAAGGCGAGTCCGGGCATCCGCCCCGCCTGTGAGGCCCACAGGGGACGTAGACAAAGCGATAAATACACCTGTGGCAAAAAGATCAGAAAACGAGAATAAAGAAACGGCCAAACAAACGTCGCTCGCACATGAGCGAATTCACCACACCCAACCACCCACTGGGCACGAATTACCTCATAAATACGCACACACAAAGAAGGAAAGGGGGGGGGGGGGGAAGAAAGAAAGAATAATATATAGTA